TGAAGAAGAGTTTTTAATTGGTCTTGGGCGCACAGTGTGACGAACAAGTGCCAGTTGGATTGCAGAGGTATGGTGAGAAACTGGGTTTTGAGGACTGTCTCGGAAGATTTATGTTGACGTAGCTTGAAGTAGTCGTCAAGCTTGAAAAGGCGGCTGGAAGAGATTCGCAAATTCGTCGCACCGGATGCCGAGGAAAGTTGGCCTTTGAGATGCGACAGTTGATTTGTTCGAAAAAGACATCAAATCAACATCGTGCCACTTCGTCCTTGCTAAGCTGTCGTCCTTCATGTCACGGACATCTTCATAGTCAGAAGTATTAATCACCAAAACCAAAACGTTGGCCGGTTAAGATTATACTTACTTTCTTTTGTGAACAATAAGAGATAAGGTAATGACACATTTTTGTACAAGTTTACTCCTCAAGATGTACCAGAGGACGGAATCCACCATCGGATTCCTCCTCATCGCAGAGACTCATTCGAAACAAAAGTGAGCTAAACAGTGGCAAATCATATAAATCCTCCAGACCAAATTTTTCATTGCATAACATAGAACGCTACTAGACTGAAATATGACTTAAACTAATTAAATAAATTTAGAACCCAGTAAAATGTACAGATTAAGGGCATGCAGAAACTGCATTTTGATATAAACATTTGGTTTTATTGGCTGTTAAGAGGTAAGAACATTTCCGAAAATGTGTTGCAGCTGATTTGAGAGTGAACGTATAGAAAGTTTACACCGAAATCGAGGGAGACTGAATTCACGTTTCAAACAGGCAAATGAGTAGACCTCAGGTATACATTTAATTTCGCTTGGCCTTGCTATAAAAAAGGCATTCTCGCCTCAACTGGTCTCATCAGAACGTACCGCGGGACTCGAATTCGGGTTTCGGTAATGCATTGTGAACTAACCAAGTAATACTCAAGACGTATTGGCAGTGTTAAAGCCTACTTTCAATAAATATAGGTAAAGTAGTCGGTTAAAATGACAAAATAATAGTTGAAAAAATCAATAATACCACCATAAATGTAAAATAAGAGAAAGAAAATTTGGGTCGCGAAGAGTTTCCTGCTTTACTATTGTTGGCTCCTATTTGCGGTTTGAGCATAGTTGTTGTCAAAGTGATGAAGAGACACGAAAAGGCATCCTACTACAAAACGACGGTGGATTTAGCTCGCTACAGTATTCTTGCTGACCATATTGTCGAGACAAGCTTATTCGGTTTCCATGACAACGTGATAAGTTGTCACGTCTTGTAGCATTTGAAGGGCATCATGAATTAACAACCTTATTCAAGCATATCAGTCGAGACTTTTCTTGGCATACATACAAGTTATCCTCATCGCTTTTCACGCATTACTTGTCCCTTTCTGCCACCCTAAAACATACAACCGTGCACAGACACACACGCACACACATTATTTCCCTTCGCCAGTTCGATCACTCCCAAATCCATGCCTCATTTGTCAGCCAAATTAGTAGCCTCACTACTAGTCTCACACACATTCACGAAAACAAACACACACAAACACACACACACACACACACACACTTGAAAGCAAACTTGTGCACATACGCACAAATTTATAGACTGAATTATGACTTTAACTAATCCAATTACTTTGCAGCCGTACAAAATGCACAAACTACCTTTTGTTATAAGCGTTTAGCTTTCTTGGCTAGCAAGAATGGCGCCCTGCTCTAAGGATGCATTGCGACTGATACGAGAAACAAAAACTAGGCACGCTCTCATAACAACCACAGGAGTAACTGCTTCAGCGACAGTGTCTTCAAGAATGTTCCAGCGATCAGTTTCCGCTGTCTTGCTCAAACACTTCCAATCGACTAGTCGCCAGACGAACACTTTCAGACCGAGAACTGCCTCGAATCACTCAAAACTGTAGTTCTCCTTTTTTCGCTACTTTTGCTTGGGCAACCCGAGTAATTGTCAATTCATTCTGCCAGTCCGTTGTCGTGCTGTTTGTCGTTGCTACTGCCAACTGGCACCTTGGCAAATTTCTGCATTTGAAGCCATCAAAGACGAGGTTTGTTTGGCAGATTCAAGTCGAGGAGAGGCGATGTCTTGAGGAAATCGTGCGAGTTGTAACAGAACGAATGGAAAGAATAAACGATTTTCATAAGGCTATCGCATTGCAGCAAGTAAAACATGGAGCCGACAAAGAGTTTTCCCTTTCCACAATTGCCCTGGCAACCTTTGCAGTCGTTGTCATCAAAACCGGGTGCATTTTCACTTCATCTGTCCGTCCTTTATCATTTTCTCCCATCTCTATCGACCATAAATTACAGACAAAGCATCCACAAGCAATAATCAAAACTTCTTTCATCTTTAAGTGTCAGTATTATCGTCGTTTGCTAAACAAACTATTTGGACAAGGTTTGCCATTAAAGCCTAAAAGAGTTGCGCAAAAAATGGACTACCTGAAAGAAATCTAGAAGCTGATCAGTTAGATCCAGCTCTTTATTGCGTTAACAGAGGCAAGCGCGGAGAGGTATCTTATCATCCAGTTCCAGAGCGCGTCAAAAGAGTCGCATCTGCTGAGACAGAATGCTAATTTTTGAGCTTACTCTCATTTCGAGTGGAAGTGTTGGGAGAAGAGCTTCGAAGATCGGTTTCACCAGAAGTCAACAGCGGTTTCCTCTTGACCAGCTGTCGATTGGCTTTACTGGAACAATTATGCTGACGCTGTTTCGGAGGCAATCTTCTTCGATTCCGGTGAAAAGGTGCTAAGCTTTCGTCCGTCACATGACGGACATCATCAGAGCGAGGTAACGTCGTCACAACAAAATTCAAGCTAACAAGTCAAGAAAATTCACCGCAAATAAATTTTACCTCTCCTTTCCCGACAGACCTACATTGCGGGCTGGAACAGTCATTTAAAATCAAAATATTTTCCGTAATCAAACAGTACTCGTGGAAATGAGGCGAGGTGGTTAATGTGCCGAGATTATATGGCGATCTGCTGGCGGTGCAGATGAGACCCAGGCGATGTATGTGAAGTTCAATAGAAATGTGAGGTCTGCTCATCTGATTATGGAAAAATGGAACCACCAGTCCCTTTATCATCTTGAACGAAATAGGGTGAATACATGTTAAATAATCATTTTAAAAATTGTATACGTTGGATAAGAAACAATTGTTTTCTCGTTGCTCAGCCTTTCTCCAGCGGGACTCGAACTTGGCTCGTGCTCGCCAAATGGCTACAAGGTTCCATCTCTCAATGCTCTGAACAGATGACTTACAAACTTTTATCATATCGACAAAGTGGACCATATGACTTATTTATGTGGCGAGTAGTTTTTAGGAGTAGTAATTGAAAATGTAGGTTTATGTCTCGACATCTAAATCCATTAATGTTAGCATTTTGCAACTCTGTTCCATAAAATAAGGTCATAGTTTGGCGATTCATTCTATATGGACTTCTTTTTTTCTGACGATTTTGTAGATTCGTTCGTGTTCATCAATCGTTTTATGCTAAAATTAGGCTGTATAATTGGCCGGAATATGTAAAAAAATCTGCTGAAAGATCCAAATCAACCAAATGCGACCAAGTTCAATCAGCGAATTTTACAACGCCTATCTTTTTACAGTTACAGAATAAACTGACTATACAATTTTACTTGCTAGACTTTCATACAGAAACACATATTATTGCCTACGCAACATTTCTAGAATATTCAATCCTGATCTAAACAACTTTCATTTGTATGCATCGAAATTCGTCAGTTCTTTGTCCCACTCAACGAACTGCATAAGGACGATGGTTTACAACAAAAGCCTGTTCTTGCACATGCTTGCTCCGAAAACGACGAGAATTTGCATCATAATCACCTAAAGGCATGCCTTTTTTTGCTCAGAGCATGTGTAAAATAAAGAGTTGGATTTTAGGAAATATATCGTCTACAACTTGTTAAGCTTACTTTCATTATGATACGATTTCAGGAATTTTTTTGTATAGCGGATCAAGAGAAACCCGTAGGCTTAACTCTCAAGCTTTTTTTACCAGCGCTTCTACTTCAAATGAAAACGATCTCATTAATATTCAGAGTTTCATATGAATTTCCGAAGAGACCAAAACCCATTTATTGCAGCTCTTAAAATGGAAAATAGGCCACGATGTAAAGCAAAAAAGAGGTAATCTTTAGCCTCGTCTTCGACGTTTATTTGACGACTTTTTTCGACTCGCTCATCTCATGCCACATGAATCGGCAAATTTTGGCAAGCAGACTACGCCAACTGTCCCACTTGCCCAGGCTTTATTCTATCCGCCTAAGGGGTTTTTCGTAGAGGCAGAAATTCTGATGACTTTGAATATGCTTTGCGTTGGTATGTTTTAGGGAAAGATGAAGAGGCGACAGAAACTAAATTAGTAGAAAGTAGTCTGTCATTGCCACGTATTTTAGCTTGATCAAGTTGTGAGATATAGATTTAAGAAAAGTGAAAGAGAACGAGAAACGGCCCTTTCATTTAACCTTGTACTTCCTACGCGCAAGTTGGCTTGAGGAGAAAAATAAGCAAGACTGGTAACAATGTGCACCAGAAGATGAGGCTAGTTTCTTAAATGTTTTTCTTGACAAATTTCTCATCTTTTTGCCCCGGTCCAAGGTTTTAGGGTTCCCATGCCACGACAGAAAGTTCCGGCTTGTGTATTTATCCCCTGCTTTTTGGAGAGGCAAAGAAATGGGTGAATTGTCGAGAAAAACGTCATTATGTGCATTTTATGCCGTTGATCGGCATCAAATGACGGTCAGATATGCTGACGGACGATTCGGTTGGCCCAGAAGTCTGGTACCTGGTAGGGTCCCGGTTGTCTAGAGGAAAGATTTGGCTCGGCTCTATTTGGCCGCCTTGCGCTCAGCTGAAGACAGCATCTGCCACAGTGTCTGTCTGTCCTGAACTGGGTTGTACTCTTGTCAAAGGCGTTACCAGATGCCTCGTTAGCAAAGATCTCTTAGCACGGGCTCCACATGTTTTTAAACTCCGAAAATCCGCCGCTTCTGCCCGACAAACCAATCGCCACTTAGCATTCCAGACTCAACGCCAGTGACGTCCTTAAAGGCATTAGGCAACATGGCATTTCTGTACTATGCATGATGCATTTTGAAAATTTTTATTTGTCGGCATAGCGACAGAATAGTTTTCAGCTAAGTTGCTTTTTGCGCCTCTCAAATAACGCTCGACACAAGGATTTTTCGACAAGAATATAAGCAACAGTCCCCAACACACGCACACACGCACACAGACAAAGATGTACCGGAATGTATGCTTGTCAAACAATTTTTTCATATATTTTATGGTAAGGTAAGTTGAGTGGCAAACAGTTTCCTGTTTTACTATTGTTGGCCCCTATTTGCGGTTTGAGCATAGTTGTTGTCAAAGTGATGAAGAGACACGAAAAGGCATCCTACCACAAAATGACGGCGGATTCAGCTCACTATATTATTCTTGCTGACCCTATCGTCGAGACAATCTCCTTCGGTTTACATGACTTGACAAGTTGTCACGTCTAATAGCATTTGAATTAACAAGCTTATTCAAGCAAATCGGTCGAGACTTTGCTTGGCATACATACAAGTTGTCCTCCCCGCTTTTCACGCATCACTTGTCCCTTTCTGCCACCCTGAAACATACAACCGTGCAGACACACACATACAAACGCATCATTTACGTCCTGCGCCAGTTCGAACACTTCAAAATCCGTGCCTCGTTGGCCAGCCGCATAAGTAGCCTCAATACTGGTCTCACACACATTCACAAAAAGAAACACACACATTCACATGCACACACCTTAAAGCACACTTGTGCACTTACGCACAAGTTTATAGTCTGAATTATGACTTTAACTAATAAAATTACCTTACACTTCTACAAAATGAACAAAGAACAATTTGGTATAAGCTGTTAGATTTCTTAGCCACCAAGAATGACGCCCTGCTCGGAGGATATCTTGCAACTGACACGAGACACGTAAACCTGGAACGTCGTCATGGCATCCAAAGGAGAGGCTGCCTCAGCGACAATGTCAGCAAGTAGGTTCTAGCCATCGGAATCTCCGTTGTCTTCTGGTGTAACCACATGCGTATAAGTTTACATTTTTCAAAATTTTCCAGGAAATGAGAGTCACCAGAATCATAGGAGATTGCCTCGGAAACAGCGTCAGCATGAATCTTCCATTAAAGCCACTTGACAGCTGGTCAAGAGGAATCGGCCGGCGGCTTCTTGTGGAACTGACCTTCAAATCTATTCACGCATCATTTTCACTTAAAATGGAAGTAAGCTCAACAATCATGAGGCAAGAGATTCCTCGAAACCCAAAATTTCTTCGCAGATATTATCAGGTCAGGTAAGTGCATGAAAATCAACAAATTGGCAAATAAACTGAATTTCAGCAGTGCTAATAGCATGCCAAGTAGGTACTACTCATTTACAGGATAAGTATGATATCATGTGCTAGAAGATCTAGAAAATGTTAAGCTTCTAGTACAGTACCACCTTATTTTTAACTGAATAAACGCAATAAAAGCTCACTAATTGAGCCAAACGGGTGTTTGGCAGTGCTTACTGAGAGGCAAGGTTAAAAAAAATAAATAAAAAACGATGATAAAATCTTACTCTTCAAGAACAGTTGTTCACTTCTCTTTTAATTACGCAGAGCTACGGCTTGTTTTCTTACAATTTCGAAAACTTCAACTCCCACACCACACACATACAATTGCACACCAGTACATACACACAGGCATCAGGATGGCTACATGATATGAACGGACTGAGTGAATGTGTAGCTCATAAACTTTCGTAGAATTACAATTTATTGCCGGCATTTGGGCAAGAGCAGGTGAGTTATTTGTCTTGTTAGCCTTGATAAGTCGGAAGCATGACACAAAGTCTGTCAATTGCTGTGACAGACTAAAGTTCCACACACCAGCACGAAAGTCGAAAGAGATTGCCTCGAGGACAGGAACCAAACTGTGGGCCAATACGAATTTGCTATCATCTTCAGGCAAAATCGAAATTTGGATCTCATAATGATACATACACCTTTTGTTGAAAGACAACTTTTATGGAAAAACCGTTTGCTCAAGTGTACGCCTTTAGAGCTGCCTGAATGGAACAACTCGATTTACTGTTTCGATTAGTGGCCCTTTTATTATTCACATATTTCCATGGGATGGCTGCGCTTTTGTGGATAGTTTTTTTCATTTTTAATCTATTTACTTTTATACAATTGCGATGCTCTCTTACCCTCCTGTTGGTTTTGGAGGCAAAATGCCTCTAGCCGACACCATTTTGGCCTTATTTTGAGACAGACTTCTCATGTAAATGTGAAATAAAGTATTTTTCGTTTGAATAAGCCCAATTTTGGGACATCAAAACTGGACGAGGAGTACACCCGCGGCCCGCTTGTGTCGATGGGCTCTGTTGAGTCTGTCTCTTCAACGGTAATTAACGACTATAACTCTTGAATTTTCTGCAATTTCATGCTTAAGAGACAATTCTTGACTGCGTGGCGTCACTGAAATGGGCTATTAAAGTAAAATTGCAATATCATATTTTCACCTTTTTAGATAAAATTTAACTAAACTTTCGATGCCATGGTTAATAGATTAAATTGATTAATGCCTCTCAGCTTGCACCCTTGACACTTTGCTGTATAAAGCTGACAAAAAAGTCGCCTATTTCACCTCATCCACCCTGTATCGCTCTCATCTCTTTATTTCACTAGCTCCGTGATTGAGGGCGACTACAACAACAACAACCAAAACAAGGCCCTAATGCACAGCTTTAAAAACTACGGACACAACAACAACCACGACCTTTCTGGCTGCAACGAGAAGGCGACGTTGATGATGCCGTCAAGAGGGTCGCATGTACCCACGTAGCTAATCGCAGTCAAAAATAACTGAACATAATTAGCCTAGGGCAGATGTAATAAACTCTACATGTTGCAACTTTTGATGCTGAGCTTCTTTCGTTTTTTCCTAGCTACAGCAACATTTTGCTGAAGTTTTATAAATCTTGTAATTAATAT